TGGCTCTTTATCAGGAGGGCTTTGATTGTTTTCTTGCTCTGGTGAAGGGAGTTGGTCTGGATGGCCATAAGGCAGCATTTCTCAACCTGGGGGTTGAGACCCCTGGGGGGATCATGAGGGGGTGTCAGAAGGGTCACCAAAGACCACCGGAAAACAGTGTTTTCTGTTGGTCATGGGGGATTCAATGTGGGAAGTTTGGCCCCATTCTATCGTTAGTGGGGTTCAGAATGTTCTTTGATTGTAAGTGAACTATAAATTCCAGTAACTACAACTCCCAAATGTCAAGATCTATTTCCCCCCAAACTTCACCAGTGTTCACATTTGGGCACATGGAGTATTTGTGCCAAGTTTGGTCTAAATCCTTCTTTGTTTGAGTGCACAGTGCTCTCTGGATGTAGGTGAACTACAACTCCCAAACTCAAGGTCAATGCCCACCACACCCAGTATTTTCTGTTGGTCATGGGAGTCCTGTGTGCCAAATTTGGTTCAATTCCATCATTGGTGGAGTTCAGAATGCTCTTTGATTGTAGTTAACTATAATCGCAGCAACTACAATTCCCAAATGACCCTGGAAGGAGGGCCAAAATTGGCCCAGGCCTATGTATGTATATGTATGTATGTATGTATGTATGTGTGTGTGTGTGTATACACACACACACACACACACACACACACACACACGGAGCAGCACAGGAGTGAGGAGGAGGCTGCTGCCAAAGAGGGCCTCAGCAGCGGCAGCTTCCCCCTCACCCCTCTGTTGCTCTGTCCTCCTTCCTCCCCAGGCTGGGCGCCAGGCTTGGGAGCCCAGCCTGGCGAGGAAGGGACTCTTTTAGACACGGGGCAACAGAGGGGCGAGGAGGAGGCTGCTGCTGAAGAGCGCCCTTGGGGGAAATGAAGTGCTCCACAACGGCTTACTTTGCGTAACGGTTGAGCCGCCCCTGTTCCACAGGGATATATACTCTTCACTTGCTTCATTTCCAATGGAACCTCTGAAGATGCCATAAGCCACAGATGCAGGTGAAACGTCAGGAGAGAATGCAGCTGGAACATAGCCAGACATTCCAAAAAACTCACAGCAACCGACTCATCAAATAGCTTTGATCAGCGGGGCAATTCTCCCCTTCCCTTTCCATCCTTGCACATCCTGAGTTTATCTGGCAAGGATGCCATTGGGGCCTCGCTCGCTTTGGCCACGTTTGCTGGAGACGAGGCTGCTTTCCTAATGAAGCCCAGGCTGCTCTCCGAATTGCAATGAGAGAAGGGCCTTTGCAAAACTTCAAGAAACCCAGAAGATCTGGCACATTTTCTAATGCCTTGGCTTGAATCTCCCTAGGAAGGTGAAGTGGAAAAAGTATAGGGGTTAATGGGGCACAAAACGTAAACATTGCAGCCAAATAGGTGTGCCTGAGACCCACATCCAGTTTTTCCTGCAGAGCTATTTGCTAGTATGAGTTTTGATCACCTTTGTAAGTTGATTTGCGTAATGGGAGATTAATATCCCTTGGCTTGTTGCTTTGCGTTACAGTTTGGACTACGAAGGGGTCAGCGCCCTTTGTGTTATGGTTTCCGTTCTTTAGTCAATGTTTTCTGCGTTAGTTCCAGTTAGTGTTTATTTAGTTTAATGTTTAGTTGAGCTTCAGAATTTGCATCGTCGACTGGGCCATTTGTAACTTTATGTTTGTTGCACCAAATGAGTAATATCAGCTCAGATTCAATGTTTGCTTGATGGATACATCAGGGCTGTTTGGTGTTGGGTTGTTGTAGGTTTTTTTCGGGCTATATGGCCATGGTCTAGAGGCATTCTCTCCTGATGTTTTGCCTGCATCTATGGCAAGCATCCTCAGAGGTAGTGAGATGCAGGCGAAACGTCAGGAGAGAATGCCTCTAGACCAGTGGTTCTCAACCTTCCTAATGCTGCGACCCCTTAGTACAGGTCCTCATGTTGTGGTGACCCCCAACCATAACGTTATTTTCGTTGCTACTTCATAACTGTAATTTTGCTACTGTTATGAATTGTAATGTAAATATCTGATATGCAGGATGTATTTTCAGTCACTGGACCAAATTTGGCACAAATACCCGATACGCCCAAAATTTGAATACTTGTGGGGTTGGGGGTGATTGATTTTGTCATTTGGTAATGCTGGAGTTGCTGGGATTTATAGTTCACCTTAAATCAAAGAGCCTTCTGAACTCCATCAATGATGGAATTGAATCAAACATGGCACACAGAATTCCCATGACCAAGAGAAAATACTGGGAAGGTCTGGTGGACATTGACCTTGAATTTTTGGAGTTGTAGTTCACCTACATCCAGAGAACACTGTGGACTCAAGCAATGATGGATCTGGATCAAACTTGGCACAAATACTCAATATGCCCAAATGTGAACACTGGTAGAGTTTGGAGAAAATAGACCTTGCCATTTGGGAGTTGTAATTGTTGGGTTTTATAGTTCACCCACAATGAAATAGCATTCTGAACCCCACCAATGATAGAATTGGACCAAACTTTCCACACAGAACCCCCATGACCAACAGAAAATACTATGTTTTCTGATGGTCTTTGGCGACCCCTCTGACACCCCCTCACGACCCCCACAGGGGTCCCGACCCCCAGGTTGAGAAACAATGCTCTAGACCATAGCCATATAGCCCGAAAAAACCTACAACAATGCAGTGATTCCGGCCATGAAAGCCTTCGACAATGTAATGGTGTTGCTTATATAAAATTGCTTTTTCGAATTTCCCCATCTTTCCATAGCACGGAGGCATGTCACTTAAAATGATGTCAACACACATTAATTCTGCAGTGTAGATTCACTCCAGGGAAGGTGAAGGAGGAGAGGGAGGGTGGAAGCAAGAAATGGCCTCTCGGTGCATCTCATTAAGGGCGGAAGAGGAAACACTTGTCGCACCATTGCAGGAATCATTTCTATTAAAAACTAGCTGTCCCCTGCCAGGCGTTGCTGTGGCCCAGTCTGGTGATCTGGAAAATAAAGTAATGACAAAGTGTTGGTTTCTAATTTATTTCTTGATGCTTGTGGATAAACAGTATTTCTTGATGTTTCTTTGTCAGTGTTGATGTGGAGAGTGTCTGGTTTGCCTACTCTGGAACATGCAACATATCATTGTCCTTCTTTAGGGGTCCCTTTCAAATCAATGTGTGTGTGAATCATATCTATCTATATCTATGGCTGGATGGCTCTTTGTCAGGAGGGATCTGATTACGTTTTCTTGCCTTGGTGAAGGGAGTTGGGCTGAGTGGCCTTAGGTATTTTCTGTTGGTCATGGGGGTTCTGTGTGGGAAGTTTGTCCCAATTCCATCATTGGTGGTGTTCAGAATGCTCTTTGATTGTAGGTAAACTATAAATCCCAGTAACTACAACTCCCAAATATCAAAATCTATTTTCCCCAAAATCCATCTGTGTTCATATTTGTGCATATGGAATATTCATGCCAAGTTTGGCCCAGATCCATCATTGTTTGAGTCCACAGTGTTCTCTGGATGTAGGTGAGCTACAACTCCCAAACTCAAGGTCAATGCCCACCAATCCCTTCTAGTGTTTTCTGGTGGTCATGGGAGTCCTGTGTGCCACATTTGGTTCAATTCCGTCATTGATGGAGATCAGAATGCTCTTTGATTGTAGGTGAACTATACATCCCAGTAACTACAACTCCCAAATGCTAAGGTCTATTTCCCCCTAAACTCCACCAGTGTTCCCATTTGGGCATATTGAGTGTTTGCTCCAAGTTTGGTCCAGATCCATCATTGTTTGAGTCCACAGTGCTCTCTGGATGTAGGTGAAGTACAACTCCCAAACTCAAGCTCAATGCCCACCACATTCTTCCAGTCATTTCTGTTGGCCATGGGAGTTCACCTCACTACCTCTGAGGATGCTTGCCATAGATGCAGGCGAAATGTCAGGAGAGAATGCCTCTAGACCATGGCCATATAGCCTGAAAAAACCTACAACAACCCTCTGTGTGCCAAGTTTGGCTCAATTCCATAGTCAGTGGAGTTCAGAATGCTATTTCATTGTGGTTGAACTATAAATCCCACCAACTACAACTCCCAAATGTCAAGGTCTATTTTCCCTCAAACTCCACCAGTGTCTGCATTTGGGCATATTGAGTATTAATGCCAAGTTTGGTCCAGATCCATCATTGTTTGAATCCACAGTGCTCTCTGGATGTAGGTAAACTACACCTCCCAAACTCAAGATCAATGCCCACCAAACCCTTCTAGTGTTGGTCATGGGAGTCCTGTGTGCCAAGTTTTACTCAATTCCATAGTCAGTGGAGTTCAGAATGCTATTTCATTGTGGGTGAACTATAAATCCCAACAACCACAACTCCCAAATGCCAAAGTCTATTTTCCCCAAACTCCAGTAGTGTTTACATTTGGGCATATTGAGTATTAATGCCAACTTTGGTCCAGATCCATCATTGTTTGTGTCCACAGTGCTCTCTGGATGTAGGTGAACTACAACTCCAAAACCTAAGGTCAATGCCCACCAAACTCTTCCAGTGTTTTCTGTTGGTTATGTGAGTTCTGTGTGCCAAGTTTGGTTCAGTTCCATCGTTGGTGGAGTTCAGAATGCTCTTTGATGGTAGGTGAACTCTAAATCCCAGCAACTACAACTCCCAAATGACAATCCCAGCAACTACAACTCCCTCCCAACTCCATCAGTACTCAAATTTAGGAGTATGGGGTCTTTGTGCCAAATTGGGTCCAGGGAATGAAAATCCATCCTCCTGCATGTCACATATTGAAGTTCTGAAGTAGCAAGGGAAAGAATGTTCTGGTTGGGGGGTCACCACGATTTGAGGAACTGTCTCAAGGGGTGGAGGAGGCACCAGGAAGGTGGAGAAGAGCTGGTGCCTGGGCTTCTCTTTGCAGCAGACCCGCCTCTTGGCTGCAATGGGGAGGAGGAGGAGGAGGAGGAGGAGGCTGGGGCGGAGCGGGGCTGGAGCCGGAGCCACGTCCCAAGCCCAGGCTCCCCTTCCCTTCCTTCCCTTGGAAGGAAGGAAGGAAGGAAGGAGAAGAAGGGAAGGGAAGAGGCTGAGTGAGGAGGGGGCTGGAGGGCAGCATGACCCCGCAGCAGAAAGCCCACTGGGGCCCCACGGCGGCCGGAGAAGAGCTCACCCCCTCCTCCCTCCCCGCCGACCCCCACAGGCACCACCCGGTGAGTGTCTCCATGGCATGGGGATCCTGCAGGGGGGAGATGGGAGGGGGAGTTGGCCGAGGGGAGCCTCCCCGGGGACAGTGGGCCACCCTGCCTTGGCTGCTGCCCAGCTCAGGGGTCTCCCACACAAACCTCGCCACTTCTGGAAAAGTTTGGAGTCTTCTAGGGAGGTGGGTGGGTGGGTGGGTGGGTGGATGGATGGATGGGTAGATAGATAGATAGATAGATAGATAGATAGATAGATAGATAGATAGATAGATAGATAGATAGATAGATAGATAGATAGATAGATAGATAGATAGATAGATAGATAGATAGATAGATAGATAGATAGATAGATGAGAGAGATGATAGATAGATAGATGGTAGGTAGATAGATAGATGGGGGGAGACAGGGCTGATAGATAGAGAGATGGATATGGATGGATGGATGGATGGACAGATGGATAGATAGATAGATGGGATAGATAGAGATGAATTAGATAGATAGATAGATAGATAGATAGATAGATAGATAGATAGATAGATAGATAGATAGATAGATAGATGAGAGTTAGGGCTGGTAGATAGAGAGATGAACAAGATAGATAGGCAGATAGACAGATGGATAGGTGGTAGGTAGATAGGCAGATGGATGGATGGGAAACAGGGCTGATAGAGAGAGAGATGAATAAGATAGATGGATGGATGGATGGACAGATGGATGGATAGATAGATAGATAGATAGATAGATAGATAGATAGATAGATAGATAGATAGGAGCTAGGGCTCATAGAGAGATGAATTAGATAGATAGATAGATAGATAGATAGATAGATAGATAGATAGATAGACGAGAGATAGGGCTGATAGAGATAAATAAGATAGATAGATAGATAGATAGATAGATAGATAGATAGATAGATGATAGATAGATAGGTGAGAGTTGGGGCTGGTAGATAGAGAGATGAATAAGATAGATAGGTAGATGGATGGATGGGAGATAGGGCTGAATAGATAATTAGATAGATAGATAGATAGATAGATAGATAGATAGATAGATAGATAGATAGATAGATAGATAGATGAGAGATAGCATTGATAGAGCGATTAATAAGATAAATAGGTAGATGGATGGATGGGGCTGATAAAGAGATGAATTAAATAGATAGATGATAGATAGACAGATGAGAGATAGGGTTGAGATAGATAGATAGATATAGATAGATAGATAGATAGATAGATAGATAGATAGATAGAGATAGATAGATAGATAGATAGATAGAATATATAAGCAGAAAGATTGATGGATGCTGATAGATGATAGATGATGGAGCTAGATAGATGGGAGATAGTGCTGATAGAGAGATGAATAAGATAGATAGATAGATAGATAGATAGATAGATAGATAGATAGATAGATAGATAGATGAATTATGGTAGGTAGATAGACAGACAGATGGATCTGTTTATTGATTAGTCCCCTGACCATATCAACAATAAAAGACAAAGGTACACAGACAAATAGGAACTAATCCATCTCCTAAAAGTCCTCTAATAATTGGGAGTCTTCTTTACTGATAGATAGACCTGTTTATTGATTAGTCCCCTGACTGTATCAACAATAATAGATAAATAGGCAGTAATCACTCTCCTAAAAGTCCTCTAATAGTCATCTCAAACAAATTAAAACACAATAAACCTTGATTAAGTAATACGTTTGGTAAAATGGGATTAAATTACAAGATGAATAGTTTGGACTCTTCTTTCCAGATAGATGGGTTTATTGATGAGTCCCCTGACCATATCAACAATAAGAGACAAAAATGCACAGACAGATAAACACAAACCACTCTCCGAAATACTGAAATAAATCCGAAACACGATAAAACTTGATTAAATAATAGGTTTGGTAAAATGGGATGAAACCCTAGGATCTGATCCCAGATTTTCTGCTTATCCCAGATTATTATTGGCAGCGGAGACTCATATAAATCCAGTTCAAAGCCGATGCCATGGCTGTCTCCCATCCAAATAGTAAACAGGGTTGCCTAGAGGTGGGAGACATATTGCTCTCCTGTATTCTCAGCAGGTGCTCAATTGTATAAATGCAACTTTGGGAAAATAAAGGACAGAGATATCATATCGTACTATCAGTCCATCTAAATTGGCATCACCAGCATGGACTGGGTGCCTGGAAAAGCCAGGGACTGAATTTGAACTTACATTGTATTGATATGAATGAGTTTAGTGCATCTTGGTCTCAGGTCTATGCCTTTTAATGTTCTTATGTTTTGTAATGCATTTCAACTATATTCTGTCCCATCTCAAGAAGAGGCAAGTTGTTGTTGTTGTTGTTCTGTATTGATATGTAACCCATCCACTTCCTACCAGGAGATTTTGAATGTGTAATATAACAAGTCACTTGCCCAGACCCTGTTTTCCTTTTCCAGTGTGTTTCCCTGCCTCTCTCCGGCTCCTTCTCTCCTCTCAATCTGCCCAAACTCTTGTTTGTTTTCCTCTGTGCAGATATTTTTAATCCCAGCTCACTCTTTGCTGAATTTGCAGCTGCTTCCTGCCCTCCTCCTTTTGGCGCAACGTTATTTTATTTTCCAGTTGCCAGGTTTAACTTTCCACCAGAGTGGGAAGGCAACCTGAATTCCTCCTCCTCGTCCTCTCCTTCTCCCTCTTCTCCTTTTCCTTCTCCTTCTCTTTGCTTTCTTCACTTCCTTCTTCTCCTTCTCTTTTTCTTCTCCTTCTCATCCTTCGCTTTCTCCTCTTCCTCTACCTCTTTCTTCTTCTTTTCCCTCCTCCTTCTCTTCTCTTTCTCCCTTCTCTTTCCTCTCCTCCTTCTCCTCTTTATCTCCTTCTTCCCTTTTCTTCTCTCCTCCATCTCTCTTTCCTTCCTTCTTCCTCTCCTCCTTCTATTCTCCTTCTCTTTCTTCTCTCTTTCTCTGCACCCCTTCTTCCTCTTCTTCCTCTCTTCTCATCCTTCCTTTCTTCTTCTCTCTTCCTCCTTCTCTTTCTCCTCCTCCTCCTCCTCTCTTCTTCTTTTCCTTCTCTTCTCCTTCTCTTCTTTCTCCTCCCTCTTCTCCTTCTCTGCTTCCATTAATTTTTCTCCTTCTCTTCCTATTTTTCTTTTTCCACCCTTCCTCTCTTCTCTTCTTCTTCTTCTCTTCTTCTTCTCTCTTCCTCTCCTTCTCTTTCCTACCTCCTCTTCTTTCCTTCTCTTACTCCTCCTCCTCTTTCCCCCTCTTCTTCTTCCTCTCTTCCTCCTCCTGTTTTATTTCCTTCTACTCCTTCTTCCTCTCCTTCCTCTCCTCCTCCAGCTTCTTCTTCTTCTCTTTCCCCTTCTCCTTCCCTTCTAAACCAATGTGAGAACAACATGTCCTTCCCCTGGTACTGTGGGACTACAACTCCAAGCATCCCCACCATTGGATGAGGTTGCTGGGAGATGCAGTCTCCTGGCAGTCCCTTTGCTGGGCCCAGATAGTTTCTGCATTCAGTGCTCTTCCACACCTTTTTTTGCAAGAGACTAATCAGGGTTAGCCTTGGTTAGGACTTGGATGGGAGCTCCACAAATGCTGCAGGCCCTATTTCAGGGGAAGGATCTGGCAAAAGCATTTCTGAGGTTCATGAACACACACACACACACACAAGGAGCATGTCACCAAAGCACGTCTTTGCACCTTCTCCAGGAATAAATCCAAGTGTCGAGTCAACCCACTGGCAAGGCTCTATTCCAGGCGGGAAGGAGGTTCACGCATTCCCAAATGCACCCTTTTCTCTCTCTCTCTCTCTCTTTCAAAAATGCCACTTTTGAAAGCCTCACGCTGACACATTCTCGTTTTCAAGAGGGAGATGAGGCACGCAAAGAGACCTTTCGCTTTGACAAAAATACATCTTACAAAAGAAACTTTGAGACGGATGACAAGTTGAGTTATGATTCAGACAGCAATGCGAACGATGGCACTTTCAAGCTTTGCGTTGTTTTACTCAGCTCATGCTTTTTGTGGATATCCTCAAGGGCACCTGCTATGGCACCTCTGTTGTTGTTGTTGTTGTTTACTTCTGCACCTGAGCTAAATAAAAACATCTTGCCCTCTATCCATGGAGAGATTTGTGTGACTCTCCAGGTGATGTTGGACTACAACTTCCGGCATCCCTATCCAACAAAGGCAGAATGCTAGAATTTGCAATCCCAACTATATCAGGAGAACAATATGGTTATCCAAGGTAAGGATGCATCTCAAGGTGCAACTGTATCGTGTCCATTTCTGGAGAATTTTCCTATAGGAAGCCAGCATTATAACATGGTTTGAGCATTGGAGATCCCTATTTGCCCATGGATTGGGTGCCCTTTAGCCATAGTCACACTTTCTTAGCCCAGAGGAAGGCAAAGTGAGCAATTATTGTTGAGACAACTACTTAATTGGATCACCATAAGTTGGAAACAACTTGAAGACAAACAACAACAGCAACACTAGGTAAAATGATGATGTTGATGGTGATTACTATTAGAAAATGTGGACCATTTCCGCTCCCTTGGCAGCCACCTCTCCACCAAAGTCAACATCGACACCGAAATACAACACTGCCTGAGCTCTGCGAGCGCAGCATTTTTCCGAATGAAACAGTGTTTGAGGACCGGGACATCCATAGGGAGACCAAGGTGCTTGCCTATAAAGCTATTGTCCTCCCAACCGTGCTATAGGTCTGCGAAATGTGGACTGTCTACAGACGTCACATGCAACTCCTGGAACGATTCCATCAGCGCTGCTCCGAAAATCCTGCAAATCTCTTGGGAGACAAGCAGACAAATGGCAGCGTGCTGGAAGAAGCAAAGACCACCAGCATCGAAGTAGGTCCTCCGCCATCAACTCCGCTGGACTGGCCACGTTGTCCAGATGCCCGACCACCGTCTCCCAAAGCAGTTGCTCTACTCCAAATGGAATGTTGGTGGACAGGAAAAGAGATTGAAAGATGGGCTCAAAGCCAACCTTAAGAACTCTGGCATAGAC